CGTCACAGGGTTTCGCATTCGAAAGCTCCTATAGGTTACAGAGATAATTAATTAAATTAATTACCACCAGCTATAATTGAACCGTTGACCTTGTCTGTGGAGGATTAGGTGCCTAGACCACTAGGCTATGGGACCCTAACCCTATCTAAAAATTTTTAATAATCATTGCCCAAAACTTTTTTAAGATTTTTATGCAAGTTCTGGGTTAAATGAAAAGCACAATGAATGAGATAAATAGAAGGAAATATTTGACGAATGGCAGAATCTACTGCTGGATCTGTGTCAGTAAGAATAGTATCTAAATTAATAATTAAAAACAATTAATTATTGTCACTCTTTGCAAAATATTGGTTTGAATTCTATGAATTCTATTATTACTAATGTTAAAATCAATGATATTATGCAAAATTTATAGGGCTCATAAAAATTATTTGCTATAATTCTGTACATTGCCATTTTTTTAACAATAGTAATATATAGATTCATAAAATCCAAACCAAAAAGTAATACTAATTTAAATACTAACCCGGATGCACACTAGTTGCTTCTAACAACTTATTAAATAACCAAATATGTGATTTAATAGTTTTATTAGCTAAAAGACTTTGAGCAAGCAAGACATTGTAACAGTCATTATTGAATCCTACAAATAGTAACAAGGCCATGCCATATCTATTGGTTTGTGGATTATATTATTAAGGATACAGTCTGAATACTGGATCCAGTTTTCAATCTGCATAGATGTCATCCAAAATAAATGGGTTAACATATTATCATCATCTTATCCACGCACTATAAACCACTGCGAATCTTGTTCTTTCGGATTATCAAGCCAGTTTGAGACTTGAGCCACATCATTTAATAATGTTTTATATGTTGAGCAAAATTTGCTAATAGTATTGTAGAGATCTTTTGAGTAAATGGGATATAAAAGAAATTTACATTCAAGAAATTTCCTTTGAGCAGTTGCACCAAACTTGCATGATACTGTCATAAATTTAATATTATTTATTATTTTGTCTGTAAATTTCTTTAACTCTTCAAACTTAATTATCGATCCATTTAGTTTATGACTATACTCATCTACAATTTTTGTAATAAATACCAAAGTATCAGAATTATTAGCTTTAGGACAAGAAGCATTGACTAAAAAGTGGCATACTGTTTTTTTTGAACCAGTATTCTTCTTTGAGTTTGATTCATAATTTCGACCATGTGTACATATAAATGCCTGTCACCAAACCACATCTTTTTCACGATGTACCTGGTCTTTAACTATGCGAAACCCCTTTTTTTCAGCTCATTTTTTCAAAAATGATTCACAACTTTCCCAAATTGTGAACGTTTTTTCTATATATAAAGTGCTATGTTCATTTTCACTAGAAGATACTAGAGACACTAATACATTATTAAAAAAATTAACTCTTATAACAACAATAAAACAATGCTACTCCAAATACCTGTAGCATTCTGTTTTAACTTATTTTGCAAAACTAACTCTAAAATTGGTCCATGTCTTGATTTGGAAAAAAAGAAAAGTTAGAAGCTGCAAAATTAATTAAAAGAAAAAAAATTATATAATATTTATCTATTGCATTGCCGATAGTAAGGTAATTATGAAATCATATTTAAGTTAGGATGATACAATTTTATATGATGTGTTAATTTTCGCATATCCAATATTACATGTGATCGTTAATTAAAAATTAAAAAATTTTTAACTTAGTTTTTTAAGAGTATAGCATTTTATTGCTATAGCAATAAATTATAATATTCTTTAAATTAACATTAGAGATGTTATCCTTTTTAAACCAGTCAGTTTGTGCTAAAAAACTTGCTAAATATCGATTCAAAGCACATATGCCTCAAACTCTACACAAATTTATTAATGATTGTGACAGATTAAAATGAAATCAGATTAAAATGAAATTTTAATATTTTTTAAGGACGATTTAAAAAATTTTGGAAGATATTTTTTAGGGTTAGAGTTAAAGTTAGAGTTAGTGTTTAGTGTTAGGTTTATTAAAAAAAGAGTATAAGTGGGTTTTATAAGCTTTAAAGAGAAGTGAGAGAGATCACCTGTTTTATTTTAATCTGATTTCATTTTAATCTGCGACAATGATTATGCTTGCTAAACATGTTAATCTAAAGCAATGCTATTATTATTTATTAAATACATAAATTTCACTATTTATTATGGTAAATAAATATATAAAAATAATATGTAATATTTATTTCATTGCATCTATTATTTATTTAATTTATTGACCTTCCATGCAATTAATAATATCTGACTCATACTAAGTTTTTAAGCAAAGACCTGTGCAAGCATTTTCCTCAGAGAGCTAATTGCATATCGGGGTTTTCATTGAATAAGATGCTAAACAATACTTGCAATGTTGTTTGTCACCAGTTTTAACAAGCTCATTCTAGAAGGAATCCTTCTTCAATCATTTTAGAAGATACAGCAGACCCCTCAAAGTGCACATTCCCTAAGTGCACGATATATGAAAAACCTCTCTAATATTCATGTCTCTGCCTGGTCCCAACTCATATAACAATTATAAAATTTAATTTCCCTAAGTGCATATTTTGTATTTTTTTCACTATGGTCCTGAGGGGTGTGTACCTAGGGGTGCGACTGTAGTTTATTTGTTTAAGTGTACCTGATGCAAATTCAGCTTGAGACATTGAACTTTGGAGAGGAGGTAAATTCAGTTGTATTAATAAATTGTTCAAATAAGTCATTTGGATGTAGTTTTTTCATTTATTGTAAAAGGTTCAAATAAAAAAAAAATAAAAAAACAAATGTCACATTTATACAATATAAAAAAATAAAATGTTTATTTTTCTTCATTATTATGCAAAGCAAGTAGCCTTTAAATTAATGGGTATCCATTAGCCATACTAAATTTAGTACAAAATACTTACTTTAGTATAGTTTTAAAAGCTAAATTTTGTAAAATTTGATTATTAACTTCAAATTAAACTTATCCAATATATAATTCTATATTTATAAATTATAATTGTATATTTAAATTTATAAAAGCTATACTAAAAAGTTTAAAAATTATTTGCTACAAAAATGCTACCAAAAAATGACTAAAAACACTAAAAAAAATCATTAAAATTGATTCAGTAGATAAAAAATTATATGTTATTTAATTTTACTAAATTTTTATATGTTTTTTATATGTTTACTATAAAAAGCTAACTATTTTTAGACTGTATCACATGAAAACAGGTTTAATTGAACTATTTTAAAAATCTATTATTTATTTTTTTAACTATTCTAAATCAAAAGTTAGATCTAAAATAATATAAAATTTTAATTTTTTTTTATTTTCTTATAAATTTTTGTACAATATAGCCTTTTCTCAGCTGTACTAAATTAAGTGCAACAAAATTTGTTCAAAATTCAAAGAAGCTTAAAATATATTTATGCAAAATTTTTATTAATAAGTACTGCTAAAATTTGGAATAATAAAAGTATTAGTTTTAAAGTATATTTTAGCAAAATTTCAAATAAAATTATTGGTTTGCCATTGTAAAATAATTTTTTCAATCTGTACTAAATTTAGTACAAAAGGCTAACGGATACTCATTAAATAAACCATATCCACATATCACGCCACAGTAATAAACTTTTAATTAAAAGTTAAAAAGTTAAAAAAAAAACATTTTACTTATCAAGTCGATTTCAGACTCGATTTGAGCACGATGAGTTTTAAATATAATAATTAAAATCATGTGACCACAAACTCGAGTTTAACCGGTTCGGTTTTCAAACAGGGTCGAACTGAGTTTGGACGAACAGAATAACATCCCTAAGTTACATAACTTTCGAGAAAATGAGCGACTACTCATTACTGTTGTAGCCATGGGGAGACTTGGCTGAGATAAAATTAGCTCAGAGCTACAAGCATAGGTTATGCGGGATGAGTGTTTATTAAAGATTCGGATTTAATGATAGTGGGTCATTATGGAATGTATTTTATTTGGTAGATAAGATTAAAATACGTTATTACTTCAATTATTATGAGCATTGTGATGTACAATCCAAATACTCGGCTTAAAAGTTGAGTAATGTAATATGACACTTCACTTTTGCTGTTACTATAACATTACTTTATGTTAATGATCAAAGGATGTGGAAATAATTGTTCCCCTATATTTTATACATTTCAAATTGCCGAGATCTCTAAGATCTGTGGTCTCAAACCAAGATTTGTGGTCTTGAGCATTATACGTGGTCTCTAATAAAGACCTGTGGCTCAAACCCATTTCATAACAATAGCGCTAGCAAATATAGTAAGAAATACTAATACAACATAAGAAGTTACATTGCGTGACATTAAAATTGGTTACACGAGTTTTGAATTCCAGAAAGTCTGTGCAACTTGCGAACACTTTTAAAAGGAAACAACTTTTGAGGTTCTGGACAAAAAGTTGCATATACTTGTAATATCATAAACACAATTATGCAAGGAAATGAGCAAAATATAAAACCTCGGCCACCTTCTAAAGAAGATGCTGAACCACTTATCGAAGTTATTGTTGTAATCGATAATGTTGAAGTTTTAGTAAAATTGAATGACCAAGACAAATTAGATACGATAAGAAAAAAATTTGAAAGTTATGAAGAGATAGCAATGACAAATGATTTTAATTTCACAAAGAACGGTGCGATAATTAATATTACAAATGATGAAAAAAATTTTATGCTAAAAGAAATTTTAGTTGGGAATAAAGTTTATCTTAAAAGAAAAGAAAAACCAAATTGGCGTGATTTGGTAGAGAAATTCAAGCTTGAATATGGACGAAATTATGAAGAAAGTAAAGAAAAAGCAGCGAATAAAAAAGTTTTCACCGTTAAAGATTGCAAATTTGATGTGTTTACTTCAGATGAATATTATTATGACGATATAACGATCAAATCCAACGATGAATTGAATCGAAATAAAAGTTTATTCCTAAAAGCACAAATAGAAATCCCATCCTCTGCAAAATTAGGTTTTTCAATAGAATCAGAAAAGAATTCTCAAGATTATTCCGAAGATGCACTAAAATTTTATGTTAAAAATTTTGGTAAGGCAGAAATTACTATTCAAGAACAAAACGTCGAGTTTACACCAGAATTCAAAAAAGATGTGCAAAAAGCAATTGATTCACAAGATCCAAAAATAATTAATAAAATTATTACAGAGTTTGGCCAATTTATTCCTACTGTAGTCCGATTTGGAGGAAGACTTTATTATGAAGATGCGACAAACACGACCAAAAATTCGACCAATAACAATAAAGCAGGCTCGGCAAATTTCGGTATTTATGGGCAAGGCCCAGAGTTTCAGCATAAATCTGGTGTAAGCAGCAAGAATGAAAGCACCACGCAACACAAAAGTTCAGAAGTTTTTGGAGGTGACAAAATAAAAATTTATGATGGTAAAGAAGCGGAATGGGTATCTTCTTTGCAGGATTTTAGGTATTGGGAACCAATCGAATTTCGTAAACCCGTAAGCATCTTTGAATTCTTAGAAGAAGACATGCAAAAGAAAATAAAGGAAATTATTGGGAAAAGAATTATTTATTCTAACGTTCAAGATTATAGTTATGAAATTAATGATTTGGATAACCACTTAGCTAATTTAGAAATGCCCGGAGATGTTCAAAAAATTTTCTCAGACTCTGATATTGATCCTCAAGTTTTTGCTACAATTCTTAACATGGATAAAAATGACGATGTATTCACTTACGCATTATATATTCCAAAATCTAATGTCCCAAAAATTATCATTAATTGTATTTCTAATAATGGGAAACAAAGAAAATGTCATATTAAAATAGGATGGATAGTTGTTGGATATAGTCCAAACATTAATTCTGCTCTCTTGAGCTCTGACTTTCATCTTCAAAGTACTAAGAAGAAAATATCTGTGCCATCGAATAACGAACATGTATTCAAAATGATCGAGGATAATTCCCTAGTAGCATGTGGCGCACCCATAGTGTCTGAATGGAAACCTGGCCGCGAACACCTGGTTATTGGTCACCATTTTAGTTTTTGTGGAAACGCAGAAAAAACTTATGCATGTCTTTACGGATATGACTTAGGCGAAAAGAAATATTCTATTTTGCCTAACACTAATTTTGAATTCAATGTATTGTCCTTTATCGAACATCCAGGTTCTAACATATTAGTTCAGTTCAGGAAAGTAGATCGAAAATTGGAAAAGAAAAAGGGTCAAAAATCGTCTGAAAAGCATGAAACTGATAATAAACTGCCAGAATTTGTCAGCTTGTATGTAGATAACATAGGAAAATGTCAGCAATGCTTTCCAGAATTTATTGCCAAAAAGCTTGATCGTTTTATTCTTGAACAACCTGAATGTAAGAATGCGCTTAAGAAAAAATTTCGTGATCATTGTTTTGCTACTGTTTTTAACCCTGAAGCTGCTAAACAGAAAACGATCCAATATCAAGTATGAGTCTTTGCAATGCACAATTTTCATTTTGAAATTCTAAATGATTCACACTTTTGCATATCGATATTTTTAAAAGTACGACTCATGTTTATAAATCTGCCATTTTAAATAATTCGTAGAAACTTGGTAAAAGAAAAAAACATTTTAACCATTGTATTGGTCATAATTTATCAGCTTTAATAACTTTTTAACTTAAAATAAATTGTAGTTGATTACGATAATTTACCTGCAGATTTTTATTTAATAAATTTGTAATACAATCGCGTATTTTATTATAAAAATTTTTTTTAATATAATTAATTAGTCTATAAATATCGCAATACTGCTTCGGTATATAATTCTGTTTTTAAACGGAAATAATTAGTTAAATAATTTCTTTATATTGGTAGGGTGTATGAAAAGCAAAAATGGGAGGTACGAATAGCAATTTCCTACTTATATATTTTTTGAGTATTATGCTCTCAAACTTAGAGAACATCTACAGAATATCAAATGTTCTCAAATCTAAAGGTATGTTCTCATGAGAACATAAGAATATAAGATTTCCAACACTTCAGATGTACTGTACCTCAATAGACATAGAAGTTTATTAAAATGACGCATTATAACTCGTGAAATGTTGATTATCCCAGTCAAAATCTATATTTACATATTAGTAGTCAAATTTTTCAAATTTTGTGCAGTTTACAAGTGTGCCGTAATGTGAGTATTTTTTACAAAGTACCACTTTATTTCATAGATTTGATTCCATATTACTAGTTTGCTCACTAAAAGTTAAATAAATTAAAAATTGGCGTAATTTAAACTTAGCGAAAAAACCGACAATTTCGAGGCATATACAAATTTGCCGTACACGTATAGGGTCGACAGCTAGTTTATGTAAATTTTGTTCAAACGTTTATTGAATTTCGCATAATTTTGCATAATTTTTTTTAAAGTAAATATAGCTATGATGACGGGATACAACCAAAAATCTACTTTTTCAAGCAAAATCAACGTTATACGTTCACCTGAAATTAACATACACAACTAATTATAACGTTTGCTATATCAAATAAACGAGTCACCAAGTGAACGTGTAATAATATAATTTTTGATTCTGTAATTCGATAATTGGTAATAATATTATGCTTATGTTACTTCCAACACCTAATTCTTGTCATGCTACCGTATAAGTGTTGCTTTATAATTGTTGTTTAGAAATAATTCGATTTAAATTACAAGTTAAATATTACAGAAGGCTTTATTATTTTCAAAACATCCAAGAATTACACCCAATAACAGTAATCATAAAAATAAAAATAAAAAATGCAGATTAAATTTTAAAATAAAGCGTCTTTGGTCACATATTATTCTCATAAACATTTAGGGAAAAAATAAAAATAAAATATAAATAATAAATATGAGTAATAAATTTAAACTTTATTAATCTAAATACCAAAATAAAATGAGTAATAAATTTGTTTAAATATAAATGCTGTAGTTTAATATGCGTGTACTATAGTACTTACCAAGAGGAATTTCAAAAGATTCGATAGGTTTACTCCGTAAAGTTGCTAATATAAGCATAATTGGTATTAAAAGAATAGTTGATACCGTGTAATTTTTAAAATAAATACCTGATATCCTTTGAGTGTTGATAATTTTGCTAGTGTACATAGAATCAGGGTGTTTTGGTGAAATTATTGGAAATTTTTTGACTATCTTATCCGCATCTAAGAATTGCTTTTTAATTTTATTTGTATTATTTGAACTTCTCACGCTTTCATTCCATTCGTTAAACTTTCTCAGAATTTTAGGGGCAGTAGGCCGTTTTTGTGGATCAGAATCCATACATTGCTTAGCTAATTCAATATAACAATCAGGAGTACCAGGTGCAAATTCTGGTCGTAATCCAAAACAAATTTTTACTGCAAGTTCATCATCAAATTTATAACCATCAAAAGGCCTTTGTCCAGTTGACATCTCTGCCATGATGACTCCAAATCCATAAATATCTGCAGCTGGTGTAAACTTTTGACCTGATAAAACCTCTGGTGCGATATAAGGCATGACTCCATAAATACAACTTTCTGATTCATTTTTATCTTTTTCTTTAGACAATCCTAGATCTGAGATATAAGATTGTATACCCTCACTAATGCCTTTATCTTGCAAAATATTACCACTGTGAAAGTCTGAATGAATATATCCTGCATTATGAATTTGCTGTAAATCATCTAAAATATCTTTAAGTAATTTTAATTTAGTCTGCCAGGTAAGTTCTTGAAAATTTGATCTTAAAAACTTATAAAGACTTCCACTATCAGCATATTGAAATACCATTAAGTATTCATTCGCTTCTGTGTTTTGAGTTAATACATATATTTGAAGTTTACTACTGTATAATTTACTACATCTCATATGATTTTCAAACTTTATAAATTTATATTAATAAATTATTTTAATATTGTATGTGTTTAATAAACTATACGATGAATATAATTTAACTTACTTCTTTCAAAAAATCGAGAGAATTTTTCTTAGAATCAGACAAGGTTTTGAGTGCAACTGTGCTAAATG